AAATGAATCCAGTTGTTAATTAAATTCAATTCAGGACATGACCAGGAAGCTAAAAGTTCATATAAAAGGATAAAAGTTTCAGTCCCGAAACCCTTCCGGATTCTTGAATCCACTGAATCAAGCACGTTAAACTTGATTTCTCCGTAACCCGGAAGGCCGTCTTCCACCCTTCACCGTTGTTCGCAACGGCCTTGCAACTATTGTAGCGACACAATAGTTGCAACTCGGAACGTTCTCTGTTAACTCCGTGATTCGTTGTCGTTTCTTAATCACAATTTTCCGTTGTTCTTGCAATCGCAACTAATGTTGTTCTGTTGCTTTTTAGCTCTTCTGCCAAAATGGCCGTTTCTGACGCTTCTCAGAAATGTTACGTCATCACTTCGAAAATTTAAAATTTCAAAATACCAGAATATCTTGACCTTCACCGTTCTACTAATCATCCGAATAACGTCGTTAATCCTTCAAAATCATTAACTCGGAAGGTTCGCTGCTAAAAATTCCTAAACTGCAGAGATTGCATTTTGTCCATTCTGGTCGAATGTCACATTCGTTAATGGCTGCGATAGTGAAGAAGTTTTTTCTTGCTGTTGTTTTGGTTTTCCTCTTTAAAATTTTGTACGATTTCCCTCTGGTGTCTCTTCATTGATCGTAAACAGTCCTTCCGTTGCTGCGGCATCGTACATTCCATTCAAAACTTCGAAGACTTCTATCATTCTTCCGCGCTTCCTTCTATACTCCAGCGTTGGCAGTTTTGGAGCTTTCAGTCTTTCCGGGTAACTAAGTTTTTGTATGTTGCGACCAGTCTTGTCGCCCGCCGTTGAACGTTCTCAATCATGATCTTGTCCTTTTTCAGGTATGGGTTCCAACACTGATTTGCGTATTCCAGGTGCGTTCTCACTAGGGCTTTATATAGGGTTGTTAGTACTTCAGCGTTAAGATAGATGAAGCTTTTCCGTATTATCGCGACCATGCCGTTGGCCAACCTTGTTTTCTTGGCAATGTTCTCACGGATTAGTAGTCTCGAGTCAACTATAACCCCTAAGTCTTTCTCGGTTTGAACATTATTAAGGTATGTATTCCCATCCAAGGTGTAATTTCGTTCCGCTAGTTTTACCCTTCCTGTTAACGTGAGCGTATGGCATTTTGTCATGTTGAACTTCATAAGGCTACCATCAGCCCATTTCGAAATTACATTCACATCATTTTGCAATTCTTCATCTTCACCTAAAGCTGTGACTGATCTGTAGATTTTCGCATCATCTGCTTAGAGGAGCATTTGGGAGGTGATTCCATCCCCCATCGAGTTTATGTATTTTAAGAGCAGAATTGGTCCCAGTACAGACCCTTGTGGGACTCCACTGATGACGGGTGCCCATTCCAAAAAACTTTTGTTGAACACCACTCTTTGTTTTCTTTCTGTTAAGAATGAGGTAATCCATTCGAGAGTTTTTCCTCTGATCCCGTATCTCGAAATTGTGTTTAGTAGTCTTTTGTTGGGTACACTATCAAAGGCTTTTTGGAAGTCAATGTAGATGATATCTACCTCGTTACCTCTGTCCAGTTCTGCTGTTCAGTAACTGCAGGGTCGTTGATCGCCCTGGTAAAAACCCGAATTGCTTGTCTGATATGAGATTGTTGTTTTCTAAAAATTCAAAAAGGTGACGTCTGATGATTTTTCCATAATTTTACAACAAATGGATGTCAGGCTAATAGGTCTGTAATTGTTAGGATCACTTTTTGCGTCCTTCTCGTGAATTGCTGTTATATTTGCGCATTTCCAATCTTCTGGTATTTCACCTTTCTCCCAAGAACTTTCCATTAAACCACTCATCATTTCAGCTATTTCGTATCGGGGTTCTCGCAATACCCGAGGGTGTACGTTATCTGACCCCATTGATTTCGTAGTGTCTAGCGCATTGAGTTCATTTAGGATTGTCTCTTTGGAGATAAAGAGGTCATCAGATGTTTGATTTTCTTGGTAATCCACTACTTCCCAGCTGCCTGGTGTTTCAATCGTAAATACAGAACTGAATCTGGTCCAATTTTGAGAGCCGGTATTGTTTCGGTTGTTTTAATTTTCTTATTCACGTAGTTCCAGAACTTTTTAGGTTGGTGTTTGATGCTTTTGGATACATCTTCTTCGTGCCTTCGAACACATTGTCGTGTCATTTTCCTGACTTTATTTCGAGCCGATGTGTAGTTTTCATAGTTTCTTTGCGACTTCTCTTTCTTGAAATCTTTCCAAGTTTTATGTTTATCTCGAAGTATATCTCTTACTTCGGAGCAGATTGGCAATTTGTGTTGCTTTATCCGGATTTTCATTTTAGGTATAAATTTCTTGGTGGCAGAATCAAGAGTAGTTTTGAATTTATTCCAATTTTTGTCAAGGGGTTAGCAAATCTTCGTAAATTAGATTATTTTTTAAGTCAGACCTGAGTTAATCGTAGCTTCCTTTATTGTAATTTAGTCTCTCTTTGGAGCGCCTTGTTGTCCAAAGGTTGAATTTTGCTTGTAACAATGTGTGATCACCTTTCCCCAGTGGAGAGATGTATTCAATGGAAGATGGTTCTAAGGTTTTATCAGTTAAAAAGAGGTCTAGGAGTGACGGTTCATTATTTTTGGTCACGCGTGTTGGTCTGTCAACATATTGGTCGAAATAAGAATATTTGACCGCCTCAATGAAATGGTGTTCTCTGCTGTTTTCGACGTGACTCGTGCTCACATATTTCCAGTCTATATCTCGGAAGTTCATGTCTCCCAGCACAATGTATCTAGATCGACTTGATCCTATTTTTTTTAAAAAAATTGTTGAGGTTGGAGTTGTTTTCGTGAGTTGATGATGGGCTCCGATATGTCGAGGCGATGACAACTTCTCCCTCCGTTAAAATCAAGTTAAACACTTGCAGTTACTCGAATCCAGAGTCATCGTCTATTTCTTTATATTCGATGTCTTTGCAAATGTAAAGTAGCATGCCGCTGCCTTTTTCATTCGGATTCATGTTTTTGTGTTTTAAGTTGTAGCAATCAAGTTTGTGCCAAATTGGGTTCCATATGTTTACAGAATTCTTAGGTTTAGCTTCTGTAAGAGCAATAACGTGCGGTAACAGGTTTGTTTGATGTATTAGCGTTTGTAACTTTTCGGGGTTTAGGGTGTCTACATTCCCGAACCAGAGCTCAAAATGCTCTCTGTTTCCGGCGTTGTTCTTTGCATCATTGTTATCTCCCTTTTCTTTACACTGATTAATTTGTTCCCTCTGACAATGTGAATGAAGTTGCCGGGTTCCTCTGCTGTTAATTTTTTTGCTCGCTGCACTAGGAAGCGGACATTTTCCCTCTCTTTCATGCTCCTGTCTGGAGTGATTTTCAGGTGTTTTAGCTCATGCTTGGCATACTTCAATTTTGTCAGATTTTTCATCATGTGTTCAGCATCATCCTGTGTTTCCAGTGTGATTCGCAATGGTCTTGGCCTCGTTTCGTTTTCGTGGTCCTCAGATATTTTGCCAAGTATAGTGCAATTTTTAACTATTGTTGGTTCAATTTCTATGCTTGCGCATAGCTCACGGATTAATGACATGTCTTCATTCTGTCGCAATTTCGGTTCAGTTGATTTACTTTCCGGTGCTTTGTGTATGATTAGATTTCATTTTCCTCTTAAATCTTCTTCCTCTTCTCTTTTTTGCTCAGATCCAGCTTCAAGGATAATATATTTCAGAGGTTTAGTGACATTTGGTTTCATCTTCCAGGGATTTGCATTCGATCACATTGTTGGCTGTGCTTTGTTTTTTGTTCCATTCATGAAGTAATAAAAATCCTCCATTAGAATTTTCACGGAATCAACAGTTTTATCCAGATCGGTCCTCATTTTGGATATGTCCTGATGTGTTTTTGGAGTCACTGCGTCTTTCATTAGGTTCTTTACATCGCCGGTGCAATTGTCGCAGCAACATATTCCTTTAGATTTTGACATGTAATCATAAACTGCCGTTGGCATTTTCAAACACTTTGCACGAAAATTTTTTGCACAGTTATCACACTCCAATACTTGATCCAAGGGATCTCCGTAGTTTTTTCTACAGGTTACACACGTCCAGGCCTCATCAACCTGTGATTTATTTGTGTTTTTCCGTGTACGGTTACTCATTTTTAGAGACTTCACTTAGGCCGCTCCAGAACAACTAAGTTCCAGGTAGCTACCAGAGTAAAATCTATTAAAAAAAGAGTTTCTAACCTTACTGTTTCTTGCTTTTCTTATTCTTCTTCGTGTTCTTCTTTTGCTTTTGAGGCCTACTTCTTTTCGTGTTCGTTCAATCGCTTCTTTTTTTCGACTTTCTTTTTCTAAATAGGGGTCTATACTTCTTCACAAGGGACTCGAGGTTTATAAATCGTTTTAGTATGGTTTCAAGGAACTTTATTTCCAATATATTTGAGGGGTGGATTTTCTGGAGGTTGGATTGGTACCACCACTCGTTTTGTTTCCTTCTGGAGATTAGCTTTTTTCCGGCTGGTATCACGAGAATGTCCAGCTTTCGTAGATCGTCCGAGATATTTCTCGTGCCTTCCCTTTGGCAATATATAATTGCCTCGATTCTCCAACTATGCTTTCTGAGTGTTTTGATTAGGTTCGGGACTGTTTCTGCTTTCTTGTTGTTGAGTCGATGTTTGGTGATCGTGTTATTCAGCACGTCGTGCCAAAGGATTATCTCTTTTTTGTTCCTGAGTGATCCTTTTTCCAGGAGAAAGTCGAGATTCAGGACGTTATGGATAGATTTGGGATTGAGACTCAGTCCTTTCGTTGCAAAACTGATTCGGGACAATACTCTCTTCAATTTATTCGGGACTACTTCGGTTGAGGCTTTAAGGGAACTGGCTCCAATTATATGCACCATTAACAATCTTCACCCACGAAGCTAGAGGCGTAGGACTTGTTAATAGTGTATCGATTCAGTCCTCTAGCTCAGATTATCTGAAATTACACGGTTTGTGTATTTGAAATGGACAAGCTATTTAATAAGTTTATCACAACAATTAGGTCAAGAAGTACATGTAACATTCGCTCGGAAGTACATATCGATGGAAAATAACGCTAGGTTTTAAAACGACTGGCTAGCGTCTAAACACATGCTTTTCACCGTCTCTGCCAAAGTCAGTTCTTTTGGTGGTCTTTCTAACATCGGGTCGACAAAAACGTTAATGTTTCCGGCTTCGATCAGAACGCTCTAATTAACTTATGATATATGCAAAATAGTGAGCTCATGGCTGGGTCTCAGTATCCCCAGACCACGAGGTCACTCCTAAAAACAGGGCTACTACTTATTTATTATATTACTATTGATTTTGTTCAGTAGATAAAAATCATCATCTCCATCGAAGATGGATCAACCCATTCCCCTAACTCCTAGCTTCTCATGATCTGAAAACGAATTTGGTATTAATTAAATTCGACTCAGGTCATGACCAGGAAGCTAAAAGTTGTTAAAATAACGAGTTAAAGTTCTCTCCCGAGACCCTTCCAGATTCAGGAATCCGGAGAAATAACGCTCTTTTTTCTTCTCGGAAGGCTAGAGATGTCGTCCTAACACCCTTCCCTGTTCTCGTGAACTTTCTAGTCACAATCTCCATCTTCTCTTGTTTCTCCGTTGTTGTTGCCACTGGGTTTTCTGTCTTTCTGATTTCGCAGTTTCAGCGTGTGCGAAATAATAAAAGGTTACGTGTCTTTCACGTCCAACTCAAAAAATTAAAAATGGGCATGTCAGTAAAAACTAACCCTTACCGATTTGTCTGATCGTTCAATTAGCGTCACTAATTCATAGAAACCATCAATCTTCTCGGTTAGATGTTCCATTAATAATTCGATTGCGAAATTGCATTTTCACCATTCCCTATCGAATGTCACATCAATGAAACGCCTTTTGTACATGGCTGTTAGTAATGTCCATTTTAAGTGCAACGACACATGGTATGTCTGAAGAATGGATTGGCAATGGGTGCATCCGGTCACTCATTCTGGCAAACCTTTGGTTGAAAGACTATGAGAAAGTTCTGGCTATCGACATCCCTCAAAAGATTGATATCCTAGAGGGCATGAACAGAAAAAGCCCAAAGTGCAGCAAAAGGCGGATGATTTTCAGAACCAAGGCAGTGGAATTTGAGAATTGTCTGAATTGGTATCGTAAAGATTGTGGTTGTCGTAAATTACAACGGCATATCAGATAAAAGTGTTACATTCGACCAGAATGACCAAAAATGCATAGCTCCAAACGAAATTTTTTTCGATCAGTTCGACGAGACAATTAACTATTTAGATGCATTAAGGTTATTAGTTGTCTAATTGCATGAATCAGGAGGATTACTTTGAATTGAAGTAATTGATTTTGAAATTTCGTTTCGGGCGTGCATGACACGTGACCATTTTGTTTTCGCAAAAACTGAAAAACAGAGCGGAAATCAGAACCGCGATTTTCCCTAGTAGAAGAGAGGTTAACCAGGGCGAGCGAGATTGGAACGAAACGCAGTCACGTCGACAGAAACGACAATTGAGAAGAAGCCTTCCGAGTTGTAACGATTGTGCAGTTACAATTGTTACCGGAAGAATTGAACGAATCACGAAGGCTGAGAGTGAAGACGGCAACCCTTCTCGAATGTGAAAAAGGCGTTTCTACAAGGATTTTGAAGAAACCGGAAGGGTACGGAACCACACTCCTGATCTGTTATTTCAACAAATTAAGCTTCCGGGAATGTCTTGAATTCAAATTATAACATCTAGTGTCAGATTCAGTCTATGAGAAGCTAGACACGTTAATGAAAGGGTCGATCCAACTCCGATCGATAGGGTAATTTTCTCTACAGTACAAAAACAATAGTAATATAGTATTATAATCATGATGGTGTATCTATCCCGTTTTTACGACAGACCTCGTGGCCTGAGGAAACTGAGACCCAGCCATGAGTTCACTATTTTGCAAGCAATTTAGGTAATTAGCGCGACTCGGTTGATAGCCTTCAATCCGTTACAACTTTGTCGACCCAATGTTATGAGGACCATTCTGGTTTGGCTTTAGTAGAAACGGTCAAAAGAACGTGATTTGCTATGTTGACGATGGCAAGTCGTTAAAGGGTAAAGTTTTTTTCTGTCGTTTTTTACTTTCCGAGCGAATGATATAATATTTGATTCTGCAAATTCTGCAATGAGATGCGTTAATGTGAGCTGACGATAACAGTTGTGAAGGTTTTCCTGGGATCTGTAGACGATAATATAAGGACTGTTAAAGGCGACCCGAGCGTGGTATTGCAAGCTGTTAACAAATTGCACCCATTCTTACATCTCACACTTGAAACACCGAATGAGAACGTAGACTTGGCTTTTTTTAGACATTATAATAATTGTAGATGGCAACAAGCAAGTTAAATGTGGATTGTACCAAAAACCAATGGATACTGACATACTTCTAAACTTCAGAAGTTGCGCACCACTGCATTACAAGATAAATTTCATAGAGAGTACGGTGCACAGGAATTTCAACAGCAAATCTACATGGGGACTGAAACATGAAGCAATGATGATCAATAGACAGCAATGGATGGAGAATCAGTACCCAGAGGAGTGGTCATGCAAACTTGAGTCGAAAACACTCAGCAAAATTCTTGGAGCGACTTTTCCCACCAACCCGGACAAACTCGGGCAACCAATGACAAGCGAGACGATAAACCCTTAATGCTTATGCATAGATTTTGAGGAAATCAAAGTCAATTGTTTGCAAACAAGGTGCGCAGCATCACCAACGCAAAAATCGAGTTTATGACCCGGAAATTGAAAACCGTTTTGGACTCCTTTATGTCGTCATTCTCTAATGATATGAAATCCATTGTGGTCCACAAACTGTCTTGTTGTGGATGTTAGTCCACATCAGCTGAACAAATTGTTCGACTTGAGTCAGTGTGAGAGCAAGCGACCACAGCGCAGTTGAGTTGGCAGATAACAGATCAATCAAACAACGCAATGAAACTCCTAAAAGTGGAAGCGCTGCATATTAGGAAACTGAGGCAAGGGATCAACACGCGGGATTAGTTCAGGAGTAGGGAGCTATCACTTAGAACTTACTCCAAAAATATTTCTGGCCGAGAATATTGAAAATGTCAATCAAAAAAATTGTAAAATTGAAAAAAAAAATTACAAGGAAACGCTAAGTAAGATTTAAAATCTCAGAAGTTTAAAGAAAAGTTAAGATTACGAAATTCTCACAAAATAATGCTTAAATTTGATAGGTAGAAATTTTTTTTTACTTTTTGTTTAGAACCACTTAATGGTTTTTTAATGATAATATAACGTCTGTAAATCATCTTATATCAACTTTTTTGTAACCTGACGATGGACATGGTTCCGAAAACGTTCGAGTTCACATTTCAGCAATTTTTCTCCATGCACTTTAGTTGTAGTAATGCTATTAGTCCTCTAATGATTTAGTAGCTGTGTCCAAAAAACTATAGAAGTCGTCTATTGAGTGCCATCCAAAATTTTATAAGTGTCAATCGAAAGAGTAACGGCCACACAAGCGAGAGTATAAAGTAACCCACTCGGCTGAAAATTTATCGGAGAATTTAAAAAAATGTCTGTTTACCCAAAACCAAAAAAAGACCCCCACCGGAAACAGAATACAAGTCCCACTACACAATTGAAATCACAATTTGGACTGATAAATTGTGATGACACACCATTTGGTTTGATTTTAAAATTTTGGAAGCATTTGGTGTATCATTTGCAAAGCATACATTCATGTCTCGTGAAGCGGGGTAATTTATTACGATGGGTTATCCAACATAAAATGCACACCCGAGAAATTTGCAAAAGGGTCTAATTTCACCAACAGACAACCAACACAGCTCCCATCACAACTCAAGAAACATCACCGGCAACACTCGAGAAAAATCTACAGCCCTACGCTCGAGATTCTAATCCATCATCCCCAGCAATCACTACAGTCCTCTCTGGCCAATTTGAAGATTATCGACCAAAAACATAAATTCAGAGCTAAAACACAAAATTGTCGCCAACTGGAAACCGCACTTCATAGTGCTAAGCAAGAGCAAGCCTGGTTTCCAATTCATAGAATAACTTAACCAGCGGATTTTTCCTAATAGAAGAATCACCAAATTCAACGTCGCATGGAAAACAGCAATGATTCTCCTATATCTGCTGCTCACCAAAACGAAACAAGAAACAAACGAATCCAATTCCAATTTTCTGAGCCGCCACATAACTTTTGGGAAGTAAGGCTTATTAGACGAATTTTTCAATGTAGCAAAAGCTCTCCAAATTAGACATCTAAAACAGAAGACGTGCAAACTAAGCGAGGAAGTTTAGCAATTCGATAAATGAATGAAAATAGCCAAAATATCTGCCGCCATTGGCTTCTTTCAGACAATAAAAAAAATTGGAGTACTTCCCCTAAACAAGGTCATTGAAGGAAAAACAAACCTTGTTTTCCTGAAATTAAAATATTTCCAAGACAAAGCAGCGAACTTTAACTGTATCACTGAAGTAAGTGAAAAAAACGCACAAAAGCCACGGCCCCTCGGAAGTAGCTGCGTGCGAATGGACAAGGATTTGAACTCAGTTCAACCAGACAATCATTAAGCTTGGCAAATTAATTGCAAAGCTATCCTATACAATAGCAAGCAAAGCTCTGCCTAATGAAACTTTATTAACCTGACGATGTACATAGTTCCGAAAACGTTCGAGTTCACATTTCAGCAATTTTTCTCCTTGCACTTTAGTTGTAGTAATGCTATTAGTACATCAAGTCCTCTAATGATTTAGTAGCTGTGTCCAAAAAATTATAGAAGTCGTCTATTGAGTGCCATCCAAAATTTTCAAAGTATCAATCGAAAGAGTAACGTCCACACAAGCGAGAGTATAAAGTAACCCACTCGGCTGAAAATTTATCGGAGAATTTTAAAAAATGTCTGTTTAGAAGACGTCTATTGAGTGCCATCAAAATTTTCAAAGTTTCAATCGAAAGAGTAACGGCCACAC